GGGGAGCGTCTCTTCCCAGCAGCAGTGGCTGTTGAGTTACTTTTGAGTATGGAAGCCATAACAGAGTTTTCAAACGGGATGATCAAGAAGTGACTTACCTTCCCTGGGGTTTCTATCGCAGAAATGGAGCAGGAATTTGAACCCAGGCCTCCCAAGTTCTTGTCTGATACTGTCTACTACATGACATGGGCTCTCACATGAAGTTTTAGTTCCACAAATGGTGGAATTACAGTGTGGCGAAACAGGGGATTTGGAAGGAAATAGTAATGGGCACCAGAGTTTTACATTAGAGAGCAGCAAATGACTGGGTAGTTAAAAGAAATACTCCTGCAAACATGCCTGCACAAAGGGATAAAGGGAGTTTATGGAAGCTACATATTGTTTCGTCTTGGTCTCAGGAGCACGTTTTAAAAATTATGATAGGAATCTTTGGTTTGAAATAAGTAAGCAACCGACCGTGTATAAATCAGCTCAGAGCTGCAAGGAATGACTATCTTATCATTCAAAAACTGTTTGCAAATATTTCTATTAATGTGGTAATTATACCCATCTGTAATTTATGTTTCATTTCCCCAGTTTTACTGTTTTCAGTTTTGCCTTCCTCCCCAACCACATGCAGATACACTGGTAATTTAGCACAACACTTAATCCAACAGATTACATGGACTTCCATCCACAAAAAAAAAAATCTACACCATAACAGCGCATTGGTCTTTAGGACTTTGGTTTTGTTTCAGTGTGGCTGCCAGCATTGTTTTTCCTTGTAGGTTCTTAATTCCTGTAATCATCTTCAATTCTATCCCTTGCAATAAAATCCAGGGGCCACATGCTTTCTAAGCTGACTCATCTTGAAGACAAGCCTTTTGGAGAGGAGGGGCTGGTGTATATTTGTCTAGCTTAATGACTGTGAGCATGTAGTTGGGGACTTGATCAAAGAATATTAATGGTTCCTAATTAGCATAGTTGGTTGCCTGACAAAGCTGCAGGGGTGGAATTTAGTGGAAGCAAGTCAGGATTTGCTTGTGTATATGCAAACCAAGTCGATATTTGCAAATAATACACTGCAAGTCTTAAGTGTTCTATCATGTAATGGCAGTGACTCCTCGCAGTGTTGCCTCTGAAACTCACGCATGCACACAGAAGCAAAGAGCACACTTACAACATGGTTATACCTATCTTTTCTCAGGCATAAGGACAAGAAGCTTTAAAAATAAATAAACTTAGAACTGTAACAATAAGCTCAGTTCTCTGGGTTTATTTTTTTAACCAAAGTTTGCATTAATTTTGACTTTTTAAAAAAGTTAGTATCTGAAGAAGGATGTACAGTATGCAACTCCTGTATGGGAAGCTGTGTGCAAAATGGATTCTTTCCCCCCCCAAATCTGCCACTGTTCTTTACATCCTCTTAGATTAATGAGGGAAGGGATCCCCAGAAACTTGTTCACTTAAGAGGGAGAATTCAGACTATTTTCTTTTGTTCCTCTTGAGTCAATGCAAGCAGGAGATTATGCCTTTACTGCTTAAAGTGGTGGTGGTGACTGAGTCTAATGCAGGATTGATTTTATTAATCTAGAGGGGAAGAAAAGATCAGACTGGAAATCAAGTAAAGTGAAATATGTAAGACAGTAAGACAAAGAAGTGTTCTGTGCAACACATCTGAAGGGCATTAAGTTGCTGAAGTATAATTATATTCTATAATTAGAAAACTGTTCCTCAAGCTTTCCCACTAACAATGTGGGTCTCACATGGATGTCCAGCTAAATATAAGGTCATCTCAGTCCAATTATTTCAGGCCATATTGATTCACAAGTTAATTGACAGGTCTCCAATCTAGTGTTTGGTATAACTCTAAGGAAAGAATATAACCAATTATTACTGCCCATCCTAGGAAACCAGGAAGGACAGGTGCTACAGCTGGGTAGCTAGTCACTGACTGAATCTTTTTCATGCAAGAGGTGACAGCTGGGGAGCTAGTCACTGACTGAATCTTTTTCATGCACAAAATAGTTTATTTAGTTCAGTTAAAAAGGGTAGAAGGTAAGCGCCAGGACTATCCCCGGAAATGTCAGCTAAAGGGTTCCTAGGAATTCTCTCAGAGAATGTGCACTAAATATTCAACCTGATTCTAGGAACAGTTACGCACTTACCTAATAATTTATTAGTAAAACACAACATCACGGTCATACTGTTTTCCTGTAATTGTTGCTGTTATGTGCCATCCTACTTATGAATGAGCCATCTCCAAAATGTCCTGTCTTCAACTGCCCTGCTCGGCTCTTGCAAACTCTCTCGCTGTGGCTTCCTTTAGGAAGCCAGTCCATCTCATATTTGGTATTCCTCTTTTCCTGTTGCTTTCCACCTTATTGTCTTTTCCGGAGAATCCTGCCTTCTCATGATGTACCCAAAGTATTCAAAAATTTTGCCTTCAGAGATAGTTTAAACTTGATTTGATCTAGGACTCACTTATACTATACATAAGTTACAATACACAATATAAATGGGCTTTTGAGGTGCAACTACAGAATTTTGGTCTATGTGTCGAGACAGTGTAGAATCACCACACAGCATAGGAAGAAAAACCCTTTCCAAAAACATATAGCTAGGAAACACAGCTAAATAGATCACCTTCTTTGTTTCCTAGATAAGAATCCAACTGAAAGCAGAGGTGGGTGTGTTGCGTTTGGTTCATTTGCACATGTACACATCATGTTCTGTGCATTTTAGTACATTGGGTGGCACGTGAGGACTGGGTGGTCCTGGTGTTGGGAACAGGTTCTCTCCACCCCCAAACTGTGGCTGAAGTGTGGCTGGTAGCTATCAGAACAGGGTTTTGCTCCTCCACTCTACCCCCAGCATTGACTATTAGAAACTATCATAGGAGGTGACAGCATGGCTGCAAACAGGGCAGGGCAACTGGCGTTTTAACCCAGCGTAACAAAATCCAGAGACATCACCTTGGCAACAAAAGTCCGAATAGTCAAAGCTATGGTTTTTCCTGTCGTGATGTATGGAAGTGAGAGCTGGACCATAAAGAAACCAGACCGCCGAAGAACTGATGCCTTTGAATTGTGGTGCTGGAGGAGGCTCTTGAGAGTCCCCTGGACTGCAAAGGGAACAAACCTATCCATTCTGAAGAAAATCAACCCTGAATGCTCACTGGAAGGACAGATCCTGAAGCTGAGGCTCCAGTACTTTGGCCATCTCATGAGAAGACTCCTTGGAAAAACCTTCATGTTAGGAAAGTGCGACGGCAAGAGGAGAAGGGGACGACAGAAGATGAGATGGCTGGACAGTGTCTGCGAAGCAACCAACATGAATTTGACACAACTACGGGAGGCAGTGGAAGATAGGAGGGCCTGGCGTGCTTTGGTCCATGGGGTCACGAAGAGTCGGACACAACTAAGCGACTAAACGAAACAAAATCCAGAGGTTGCCTACATCTAGAGGTGAATCTACTGGCCAGCATTAGGAAAATAAATGGCAATGCTTCCAATGCTTTATCTGCTCAGCTTTCATGGAAACCAGAAGCACTTTCTTGGGAGAAGAAGACAAAATTCTGCTCTTTTTTCTTGAAGTGTCTCTCACTCCCATGTCACAGGGCTGAGTAGGTGGCCCAGGAGTGTCAAAGTTACTACAGTAGGACTCCCTTATCTGCTGGATTAGTATCTGCTGAATCCCTTATCCACCACCAGAAAATATTAAAAATATTAAAAGAAAAATGCTAGATATACAGTACTGTATATATTTTTAGAGAAGACCAGAACTGGCCACCAGAGGGAGCCAGAGACCATGCGATTTATAGCATTGGCCGTATTCGGCGCTTCTCAGCATCTGCAAAGGCTTGGGACCAATTCCTCCCCCTCTATAGGGGCTTTTACTGTTGGTTCTGTTTGACACCAAGACCTTCCCTAGCCTTCAACGAAATGTTGCACAGAAAACTCGCTGTGCCCCCCTCATCATTCTCTTAAAATCTTTAGACCATAATATCTTAGACCAATACATTTTGGATCTTGAAATGACTGTTGTTGCAAAGGCCGTTTTTCCAGGCAAGAGCTCCTACCGCATCATTCCTACCGGGAATTCTGAGAGCTGTAGTCCAAATACGTAACTTTCCCCCAAAAGATTTTTTTTGGTGATTCTATCTGCATGACTTACATTCGCCCAAGCACCTATTGTGTATTTTATTTTATTTTATTGGCACACCCACCTCCATTCGGCCAAGTAAATTAAACCCCGGGGCGGAAAAGCTAGTTGTTATCCGACCGAGCCAGTAAGGTCGGGTAGGCTTAAAGTCTGGCGACCCACGGAGCTACACAGAACGTTTCGTCCAGGAAGCGATGCCTTCCGTGCCCTCATTGACAGCCACAAGCGACCCGACGTCTTCCCTTGGCGGGGTGGAGCGGGGCGTCCCTCACCAGCCCTCAGGACTGTCTTTTCAAAAGCTTCCAACTCGGCGGGAGACAGTTGCCAAACGCCGACCGAGAACGGACACAAAGCCCGCCGGGTTCAGGGAAAGTTAACTGGGGCAAAGGGGAAGGACGGGTCGGGGGCCCAGACTCTCAAACCGACACCCCCCCCGCCCCGCCTCAGTGTTGGAGAGGCGAACTTGAGGGTCTCCGGCGGGACGGCCGCGCCTGCAGCCTCTCCCGTGGCTCGCCCAGCGCAGGCGGCCAAGGAAAGGAGGGGCGCCCCCGTCCCGGCCAGAGAAGGGCCT